TATTTGGTTCACAGTATGATCTTATCCAAAATTATTTAATGACTGTCTTAATTTTTAAAGAGAAAGTATCTAAAGTTGGGTGAATACTTCTCACTAAACTATAAACTCTTTCAGAAGGGCAAGGATTTTTTGTATTCATATTATCTCACTGAAGCACACCACGTACCAAGGGTTCAGTAAATATTTCTTTCAAAAAAATGATTAAAATGATGACCTTATCTGAACGTTTGTTACAGAATAGAAAAATTTATTTTCAGTATGCTAAATTCCTTATGGTCACTTTTAATTTTAGTTCTGACCTATATATAACCTTTCTTAAATCACTTCAAATATTTCATAGCAATCTGCTTGACTGTTTTAGATGTGGGAGCAATGACTGATGGCTTCATCCCCCAGTATGTTTTTCTGTTCCTTGAAGAGATAAACATCTTGAATGAGTTGTGTTCTGGCTTCAGTCATCATCCATGTTCACTTGAGGGCAGTGTTGTTAATAATCAGGCTCCAGATTAACTTCATTTTGCATCGTATTTGTCGGAGTTATGAATTAAAAGTAATATGGAATGTTTGTTTTAAAAGACTGGAATATGTATTAGGTGTGCAGTACTCCACTTACCCTAACACAGTGGTTCTCAAACTTCTATATGTATATAAATCACCTAGACCCATACTGTCCAATATAGTAGCCACTATCCATGTGGCAATGGAGTACTTGATAGTCAAAGTGAGATGTACTGTGAGTATAAAATATACACCAGATTTTAAAGACTGAGTACAAAAAAAGGAATGTAAAATATCTCAATAACATATTGGTCATGTTGAAATGAAAATATTTTGGTTATATTGGCTTACATAAAATGTATTAGAATTAATGTCATCTGATTTTTTAATTTTTAAAAAATGTGGCTACTGGCATATTTAAAATTACATACGCAACTCACATTTATGATTCATGTTATGTTCCTGTTGAACAGTATTGCCGAGATGCTTGTTTAAAATGTTTCCCGGGTCTCACTTTTAGAGATTCTGCTCTAAGAGTTTCAGATTAGGGCCCAGAAATCAGTTACTTTTTAGCTCTCCAAGTAATTCAATTGCTAAGTCACTATAAGAAGTCATTGTTTTATATTGCTTTGACCAGATGATTTTGATAGTGTTCAGTACAGTAGTGATTCAAAGATAACAAAGAGAGCAATCATTCTCAATTTCGATTATGTAATAATCGCCATCCTATAATAGTCATTCATGTGTTTCAATTAGTGAAACACACTTCCAAATATAATCACAATACAATAATTTGGTAGAAGTGGAAGGAAGGTGGGAGCAATTAAGCAATATCTGTCACAAAAATTTTTTAAATGTTTTTATTGATTTCAGAGAGAGGGAGAGGAAGAGATAGAAACACCAATAATGAGAATTATCAATAGGCTGCCTCCTGCATGCCCCCTACTGGAGATCAAGCCCACAACTCACGCATGTGCCCTGACAGGGAATCAAACCATGACCTCCTGGTTCGTGGGTCAACACTCAACCACTGAGCCACACTGGCCAGGCTGTCACAAATATAAGTGTACATAATCTTTGACTCACTTCTAGAAATTGATCCTGCAGGTCTTCTCACAAGTTCACTATGACATATCTATAATTCAATTCAGCACTATTGATACTGTTGTAATTAGCTAGTTATTAATAATTGGAAAGGAGAAAAGGAGGAAGCCAGACATTATAGGCATGTCATTTGGGCAGCTTCACCAGGAAGCTGCAATGTCACACTCCCCAGGGAACCCTTGGCCCATTCCCTGAAAAACACTGGGGGGAGTGGTCCAACAAAGGGGAGATAGATGCATGTATTGTGAAGTTGGAGTAACATAGGAAAGGTACTTGCCTGTCAGTCAAACCTGGGAACAGAGATCATTGGCCAGAGTAGACAAGGCTACTGCAAGCCCATGAAAATTTGGGGACACATAATCCACCAAACAAAGGAATTCTCTCTTGGTTCCCTGGTTCCTTTGGTTTTGTTTCTGCTTCCTTGCATTTGCCTGTGTTCCCTCCATGGCCATGTGACCATGCAGACCCCACATACAATAGACTAATGGACTGCAACTGGGAACACAATTATACTACCCTGATGCTTGGCTGGACACTGACTCTGATCTAGCTCTGCTGAAGCCACAGCTACACTTCTTCCTCGGTGGGGATGAAGGGAAATGTGACCTTGGAAACTCAGGGGTTTGATTCCACAGAAATAACGCTTTCTACAATATCTTTTCCTCCCGTGCAAGTCTCAGAAAATTCTTTTTCTGGAGCTATCTCAAGAAATCCACCCCACCAGCAACCGGTGGGGAAAGGACCTCTCTCCACCAATCTATACTAATAATAGAGGAATATGCAAACTGTCCAGAACACCGTCACAGTAACAGTAACAACCGAACAGCAGGTTGTGTGGAGCAACCAGGCCGGCAGGGAGTTAGTGAGGGACAACCAAACGACTGAAAAGCAGGCTGTGTGGGGCGACCAGGCCGGCAGGGGGGGCAGTTGGGGACAAC